GAAGGGTAGAATACGGTAGTTCTAACAAGATATTTAAGGGCTCTTGTTGTGGTCGCCAAGGACATCAACAAAATGTTTGTCGAAGTAAACCAGAAGCAGTGGAGGAACTTGTTCAGGATTCGCCAAGTTCGTCAACTATTCCTACTTGCAAACATTGCAATAAAATGGGCCACATTGAAATAAACTATTTTTTTTTAAGAATGGGAAGCCAAAGAAAGCTTTTCTAATTAAAAAATGACGCCACTTAAACATCACACCAATAGCAACGATTTTGTGTAGTGAAAATGTTTCGTCTTTTTCTTATATAATTGATTGGTTGTAAAAACAATAAACGGAACTTTGAGAGCGGAAGAAAAACTACCTGCGTTCTCGAGACTTGGATCACAAATTATTTACGCTATCGGTGTGTGTGACGTCATAACGGTTATGTCGGCAGTGACTTTGGACATTAGATACTTGGTAGTGCCAGATGCTAATCCCAGGAGACTTTGACCTTATTATCGGTTGGGATGTTATAAAGAGACCTTGTTTACGTATTGAGAAAGGTTTCAATGGGCTCGAGTTACACCAGACCCCATTTAAAAACCCATCAATATTAACCCTGAAATGTGCAAATAGTATTAAGATAACCAAACAGGTTTAAAGAACAGATTGCGGGTATGTTATTGTTTCATAAAAATAAAACACCGGATTACATTACCACCGGTGAAATGGTAATAAATCTTAAAGACACTACTCCAGTAGCATATCGTCCTCGTAGGTTGGCTTATCAAGAAAGAGTGGAAGTAATATGCTAGTCCGATCGTACTAGTAAAAAAGAAAAACGGTGAAACTAAAATGTGTGTGGATTTACGAGAAGTTGATAAAAAAGTGCTTAAAGAAAGGTATCCCTTGCCGCATATTCAAGAACAGATTAATGGACTGTGTCATGCAAAATATTTTACTAAGTTAGATATGAAATCCGGGTTTTACTAATTGAAAATTGAAGAAAAATCAACATATTACGGCTTTTGTTACACCAGATGGACATTATGAGTTTAATCGTATGCCGTTTGGGTATAATAACGTTCCAGCAATTTATCAACGTTCTATTGACAAAGCATTGGGCAATTTAAAAGGGACTAAGGCATTTGTGTACCTAGATGACGTGCTTGTACCTTCTACTAGTATAGAAGATGGACTAAATAATTTAGAGGAAGTACTCATGGATTTTCAATGTGAAAAATGTTTATTTTTTTGCTCGAGAAACTGAATATCTTGATGTAATTTTAAGTGAGGGTACAGTGCGAAGTAGTGTATATTGACGGGTTCAAACACAAAATAATTGAGTTTAAAACCGTCACTGTGTAAAAAGTATAGGTGTATGTGTTTGAAACCGTCACTGTGTAAAAGTATAGGCATATCAATTTGTGTGTGTTTGTGTCTATGTGATTTGTAGACCCCCTGTATATGAATTAAGTAAGTGGCCGATGAAATTTATTTTTAACGGAATTCGACCTACCATTGTTCTCAAACTTATTTAATTAGTTTTCATGCACCACAATGACCTGTGTAGTTTTTAATAAATGCATTCCGGAAATACCTAATTAGCAGACTGATGCAACATTTCTTATATTTATTTTAGCGGAATTCGACGACCTTGCTTTATGACCATTGTGAATGGAAATGTATTAAATTAGTATTCATGCACCAATGACCTAGTTTTTAATACATGCATTGCCGAAATAATTAGCAAGTGCAGTGTTTGGTGGGGAGAGTTTGTGAAGGTGAAGCAATTTGGTTTACAAATTAACCTTATAAAACTCTTAACTCTTAACTCATTTGCATGTGTAATTAGTTATAATATAATTTTATAGTGTTGAGCAAACCAATATAATAGAGTTAAAATTAATTAATTAAATTAATCATATCTACATACATTAAAACTTAAGGTAAGATATTTTTTTTAAATTTTTATTCTTTATTTAGACATATTTATTTTATTTTTAGATTGTGGAATTAGTTTTTTCTATAACCTTAAAAAATTCCATTGCGATAACACTTTATTAAAATGTCATCTGTATCAATTTTATCTGATAATATTATTCAAACTTACAAAAAAATAGTTCCTTTGCTTAAAACAGTGCAGGAACATCAGAAACACTTAAAAATTTTAAAGCAAAATATTTTTTTGGTGCGAAAAGCAATTAAAAATATTCAATTTGATTTTAAATCTAATGAAAATGCATTTAAATTAGAAGCAAACTTGGCATTTTAAATCATTATAAAAATAAATTAAAAAGAAAAATTTTAAATTTTGTAAAATTAGGAAAAGGTTTAAATAATAAAACTGGAAATATATATTGGCAAGAATTAACTAGTTGTTTTAAAAGTCGCATACAAACTGGAATAATTGTTAATGTTAAAATTAAAGATATTAATTTGTTTTTTCATAAATCATACAAAAGTTTTGGATGTAAAATCAATAAACAATTAAAACAGCTTGGAATGCTAAAAGTAAATTGTATGCAAATTTTATTCAACCAAAATCTGGAGAAATTGACCTAAAACATTTTACAACTTCTAATGAAATAATTGATATAAATACTAACTTAAAAAAATGGTATATTGAAAATGTTGTGGAAAAACTCAAAAGTAAATTGGAGGACTTTTCAAAACGTGATTCAGGGTGGAGTTTAATAGAAATTATTGGTCTTAAAATAAATATTAATAAACATTTGCCAATTAACATCGGTAAATTTATCGATTGCCCTAAATTTATAAAGGATATAAGAGCCGTGATTAACATACGTAACAATGATAAATATTGCTTTCTATACTGTATAGTGACAGCACTCTATCCAACCCCAAAAAATCCAGAAAGGATATCGAGTTATCCCATGAAACTTAAAAATATTGCAAAATTTTAAAAATTAAATAACTTATCCATTAATGTTTTTGCTATTGAAAAAATAAAACAGTATTGTACCAATTTCCAATCAAACAATTTTATAAATTTATTAATGTTAAAAGATGGAAAAAAATACCACTTTCCATTAATAAAAAGTTTATCTAGATTATTATCTTCTCAAATTTCCAAACGTAAGAATTCTAAATTTATATGCAATAGATGTTTACATTATTTTGGAAATCAAAATTTGCTTGATAAACATTTTGAATATTGTTTTAATCAAAACGTGTGTAAAACTGTACTTCCAAAAGCTAATGAAAATATTTTAGAATTTAAAAACCATAAGTTTAAACAAATAGCGTTAAATATGCAGATTTAGAATGCATATTAGAAAAATGTGATGAACAAGATAGTGACACTGATACTATAAAAAAAACTTTGTTTATGTTCAAAAACACATTCCATTTAGTATTGCTTATTATTTAAAGTGTTCGTATAATGATTCATTGTCAAAATTTGCGATGAATCGTGGGGAAAGTTGTATACAATAGTTTATATCGGAGATAAATGAAATTGCATTAAACCTGCATAATACTAAAACAAAACAAATAGATCCCTTAACAAGTACTGAAATAATCGACTATGAAAAAGCAACTCTCTGTCATATTTGCGAAAAACCTTTTTTACCAAATGATTTAAAAGTTAAAGACCATTTTCATTTAGCAAATAGTGCTAATGATATAAATAATTTAAAAACAAATTATCGAGGACCTGCGCATAACAGTTGCAATCTAAACTTTAAAAAAATCAACACAATACCTGTTTTTTTTCCACAATTTAAGCTCTTATGACTCACATTTTTTGATAAAAGAATTATTAAACAACTTTAGTGGTGATTTATCGGTTTTACCTGCTACCAAAGAAAAATACATTTCATTTACAAAATTTGTTGATGAAACTAATATAAAATTGAGATTTGTCGATTCATATCGGTTTATGCCTGAAAGTTTAAATACATTAGCATCCTAATTGGATAATGAGCAAAAAAAAATTACAAAACTTCATTGTGCTGACGAATTAGAATTTAAATTATTGTGCAGAAAAGGCGTTTTTCCATACGAGTACTTGGATTCGTGGGAAAAATTAAATGATAATGCTTTGCCCGAAAAAAATTGTTCTATAGTGCTCTTAATGAAAGCGAAATATCAGATCTTGAATATATTAACGCTCATAATGTATGGACAACTTTTAAGTGTAAAAACCTGGGAACTTACTCTGATTTATATTTAAAAACAGATGTTCTTCTATTGGCCGATATATATGAAAATTTTCGTAAAACCAGCATACAAACATATATACTTGATCCGGCAAACTTTGTAAGTTCACCATCATTTTCCTTTCAAGCAATGCTAAAAACAATCGAATATAAGTTAGAGCTAATAACCGATATTGATCAAATAATGATGATTGAAAAAGGAATTCGTGGAGGTATTGCTTAATGTTGGAACAGATATGCTAAAGCAAACAATAAATTTATGGAAAATTATGATTCTTCTTAACCGGAAAAGTATCTTCTTCTTCTCGATCAAAATAACATGTACTGTTAAAAAGGGGAAGAAGAAGAAACACACTTTTTCAGATTTTGGGGGCCTTTTTCGGTTCTCTCGAATTGTGAAAAAGCTGTTCAGTCTTCCGTCCGATCCTTTTTACCAAAAGATCAACTCTCCTAACGCAGAGTTAGTTTTCGGAAGTCTAAGTATTAACTTATCCTAAATACGGTCAAGTGTCGCCTAAACTGTTTAACTTTGTGTAATTTTGTGACCTACCAAACGATTTCAGAAAATCCAAGTGCCGAGAACGGGTCTGGAGAACGTTTTCGTGACTCTTTGCTGGGACTTGGTCGCAACGTCATCGAAATTCCGCGAAACATCGGTTGGACCACGCCTCTGTGCACAAGTTCGCGAAGTATCAACTAGACCACGCCTTCGCTCGCGAAATACGCGAAATAAACCGCGGCGTATAGGTTAGACCACGCCTCCGCGCGCAAGATACGCGAAAAAATCCGCGGCATCCCGCGAAATGAACTAGGCGTGTTTCTGACCGGAAACAAATGCCAATCACACGATACCAAGCCGCGCGCAACCAAGCCGAACGTGAATTGTTAACTAGCGTTAATAATATACAGGATGTTTCAGTAATCCGGGACATCCAGTCATCTCTGGAGATCACCGCGAACGCCGCGGATTCCAGCGCCGACATGTCCACCGGTTCGCCCACGGTAGCTCCGGGGAGCTCCAGCGTTGCCGACCGTGTTGCGTCGTGGATGCCCGCAACTTCACCGCCGGTCGCGTGGAAGCCTAGCGGAATCCAGGATGCTTCCGCGTTGGGAGGTAGCCAAGGTGCCACTTCGGATGCTCCGAGACGCTCCGACGTGGGGGTGACACAGCATCCATACGTGTTGGCTGGCGGCTTGCCTGAAATTAACTGCCATGATGCTCCGGGGCATGCTGGACCCTGGATTGCTCAGCAACCTAGCATGATGGCTTCCGGGTCTTTTCCGGCTGTAATCGGTGCTGCTCCGGGATGCTTCGACCCTTGGAGGGGCAACCCACATCCCACGATGTCATCCGGACCTTTCTCCACTGTGGCCAATGCTGCTCCGGGATCCTCCGACCCTTGGAGGGGCAACCCGCAACCCACGATGTCATCCGGACCTTTCTTCACCATGGCCAATGCTGCTCCAGGATGCTCCGACTCTTGGAAGGCCAATCCACATCCCATGATGGTTCATGGACCTTACCATCCCCTAATAGGTGCTGCTCCGGGATGCTCCGACCCTTGGAGGGTCAACCCACATCCCTTGATGGCTCCCGGACCTTTTCCAACCATGTTCAATGCTGCTCCGGGATGCTCCGGCTCTTGGGAAGGTAATCAGCGTTCTAACGTCGCTCCTGACGTTTATACCACCGCAGCTCCGGCTGCTCCGAGTTATTTAGCTTCAGCAGTACCTGGACCTGGCCAAGGAAATGTCCAATATTTCAAAGAGCAACCGCACCCTGTAAATATCATCGGAGCTGGACCATCCAACCCCGATGTCTTACGTTTACAACAGTACCTACGGATTTTCTATGAGCAGATACCTTCTCTATGCTGGTTTTGAGTGGGTGGAAAATCCTAGCACATTTAATCTCCAAAATTTACCAAGTATAAATTCTTCTATAGGTTATATTTTAGAGGTAGATTTAACATATCCAGAAAATGTACAGGAAATACATAGAGATATGCCATTTTGTCCAGAACATTTGACTCCACCGAAGTCCTAATCCAAACAAAAGAAACTTTTAACAATATTATATAATAAAACAATCTTATATACTATACTGCCTTAAAACAGGCTTTATTAAATGGGCTTATTGTAACAAAAATACATAGAATATTAAAATTTAAACAAGCTCCTTGGTTAAAAAAATACATTAACCTTAATACGGAATTAAGAAAACAATCAAAATTTAAATCAGATCAAAATTATTATAAATTGCAATTAAACTCAATATTTGGGAAGTGTTTGGAAAACGTGCGCAAACATAGGATAATTAAAATTGTTAACAATTGGAAATCGGCCAGAAACCTAATTTCAAAACCAAATTTTAAAAACAGTGTTATAATTGATAAAGATTTAGTTTTAATAGAACTAAACAAGACTGAAATATATTTCGATAAACCTATATATGCGGGTTTTTCAATTTTAGATATTTCAAAAACATTTTTATATGACTTTCACTAAGGATTTATTAAAAAAGAACTGGGTAATTGTTCTTCAAAATTATTATACACTGATACAGATAGTTTAATTTATGAATTTACCAATTTAAATATTTATGATATTATTAAAAAATTTCCATGCAAATTTGATACCTCCGATTTTTCGCACGATAACGAGCATGGAATATTGCAATTAAATAAAAAAGAACTTGGATTATGGAAAGATGAAAACCAAGGAAAAATAATGCCTGAAATGTATGTTTATAAAGTTGAACATGGTAAAAATACAAAAAAAGTAAAAGGAGTTCAAAGACCTGTTGTTAAAAGAATTACATTCAACGATTTTATAGAATGTCTTCAAAATTGTACCAATTTAATTAAAAGTCAAAATTTAATTATTTCAAGAAATCATCAAGTATTTACTGAAAAACAAAAAAAAACTTGCATTATCATATGACGATGATAAACGAGTAATTAAAATGGAAACAACCGATACAGTACCTTGGGGATACATTGAACAAAAATGAGGAAATATTCGAGTTGAAACTCGTTCAAGGTTAATTAACAGATTCGTAGTAGGTAGTTGGCCGCGAGTCATTGAGATAGGTCAGTAAGAACATTGACTTATGCAATGAATTTAAATCAGTACAAATTATTTCGCGATATATTTTTACAGCAAACAGAAACGTATGGTAAATATTTAAAATTATATATTTCCAGTTTAAATTTAATAGAAGTTAATTATACAGGGTGTTTCATAATATATGCGCAGGACTTCAGGATGTGACAGCTCATCCAAAAAGATGAAAAAAGTCGCTATTAACTTACCCTCTAAAATGCACAATTTTCGAGATACAGGGTGTTGAAATTTTAGAAAAAAAATCGTTTTTTAGATTATCTCTGGAACCGTTTATCGTACAAAAAACAGCTTTTGTAAGCATTTTTTTATTACTAATTAAACAAAATTTATTTTAACGTTAGAAAAAGTAACAAAACCAAACGATAATTGCAAAATTAAAAATGATTTTTTACTCAAATGCTGAAATGGGCGAAATGCGTTACCTTTACGGTTTGGAGAATTAAGCAAAGACAACTTTTAAATCATTTTTTATTTTGCAATTATCGTTTGGTTTTGTTACTTGTCCTAACGTTAAAATAAATTTTGTTTAATTAGTAAAAAAAAATATTTTTTTTTAAATTGACCATGTTTTTAAACATAAAAGTTAATTTTTTTCGAAAACGGTCAACTTTAGAGCTTATGACCAGGAGTACCTTTTTTGTGTAGAAAACATTGGCGGTTCGAATGGGCCTCTCAAAACCGTACTTTTTTCATGGGCGTAGAAGTTGAGGAGAAAAACACCCTTCAAAATCTCCACCACTTATGAGGAAAAAAAAATTTTTTCTAGCACAAAACATAGCTTATTTTGAGTAGAAAATGCTTACAAAAGCTGTTTTTTGTACGATAAACGGTTCCGGAGATATTCGAAAAAAAACGAATTTTTTTCTAAAATTTCAACACCCTGTATCTCGAAAATTGTGCATTTTAGAGCGTAACTTAATAGCGACTTTTTTCATATTTTTGGATGAGCCATCACATCCTGAAGTCCTGCGCATATATTATGAAACACCCTGTATTTTACAAATAAAATTCGTACCAGATAATATTTTGCAATATAAAATATTAAAAAATTGTAATTATGATGTGTTTGAAACAATAATAGAATCAAAAATAAATACTGATATTTTTGTGAAAAATGTTTTACAAAACCACAACAAATCATCATCATCATCGTCACTGACATTTAACAAGACTATTGAAATAGAAGATTTTTTAACAGCTATAAATAATTTCATTTTTTATTATGATTCAAATTATAAATTAATGTTTGCAACAAATTTATTAGCAGATAAAATGGATTTTTCAAATGTATGTAAAAATTATAAATCAACATTATTTTATATAAATGATTTAGTTTGTGATGCAATCTTAAATGCAAATTATAAATTTTTGCAAATTTGTTTTGATTGGATGGTAAAAAAAACCATATACAAAATTTGAGTTTAATCCATTTACAAGAAAATCACATCAGGAAATTTACAAATCCATTTACAAGAAAATCACATCAGGAAATTTACAAATGGATTTTAAATACTTTGGAAAAAATAAACCAAAACAAATAGGTTGGATGGAAAGAAGGTCCAAACAGTGGTATTTGGCCATCTACAGAACCGCAAGATTGCATACACAGGTGGCTGGAAAGAAAAAAAGGTTTTCCCACGATGCCTAAACAACTCATTAGCATCCGGTGTTTCCTTAGCTCCCCCTGAGATGATAAAACTTCATCCTTAAATCGTAGCTGTTCATTTGAGGAAAAACCACCCCATTTTATGGGTGATGATTAGAAAGAAAGAAAAAAAAAATTAAATGATCCAAAGTGATTTTAAATTGGCAGAATACATATTTAAGAAATAAAAATTTATTTAACACAAGGAACATGATAATAAATAAGTTATACATTTTTTAAATATGCTTGGAAGAAAAGTCCACTACCGCTTCCTTTAATTTCACAGCATAATTCTGGTCCATGAGGTTATTTAATTTTCGCCGGTTCCAGAACTTCAAAATTCGCGATGGATTGATTCTCCTGCTTGCTTCGACCAAATGCCAAATCCTTCCTCTCGCTCCAAAAACTCTAGGGATTGCTCAAGATGATTTAGGCATATGTGAATCTTTAATGTTTCAGTTACGTCTGTGGCCGCAAGAGATTTTTTTAACTCAGTTATGTACATATGCAAGTTTCCGCCAAGCCTCATATTCGAAAAACAATCATGAACTATTTTATCGAGTGCTTTAAAAGCTGACACATACGGGACTAGGGCTAGCGGACCACCAATATGATCACACAATTTATGACTTAATAAAAAATCAGGTTCTTTCAACATCTTTCTACATGCATTTCCTTCAAAAGAATCACCGTGGTAGTTTTTAGATATTAATTTTAGATGCTGCGGCCAGATTAAGGCTTTTTCTTTTCCCAAAAGAGGCACTAGGCCTTTCCAAAAAATGTGGTTAACAAGACCTTGCAATATATGCAATTCCGGCATTACGCATTTTTCAATAACAGGCATGTCATCGGGCTCGGAAAATAACGGAGGGTTGATGGTGCTGTGGCTTGATTTGGCCGATTTTTTATTGCCACCAAAAGATATAAATTCCTTGTAATTTTGTCGCAAATTTCCGTATGTTTTTACCACAAGATCCTGTTCATCATTCTCGAGTTCGATCCGAGTTTTTAACTTTTGTAAAGTTACGAAGCAATATGGACAAGGGAAGGTTGCGGTGGCAGTTTGTTGTCCATTAATGATCAGAAGCAATTTAAAATCCGTAACGAACTTAAACGGAATATCATTGATCTTTATTAAGTCGAACAGCTTTTTGACATTTTCATAACTTTCTTTGATGTGGGGCACAATACACAGCATGATTAATTATGTACACTGGTTAATTTTTCAACCTTTAGTCTCTTTACCCGAGTAGTATCTGTAGCAAGATCTGGATCAGACACATAATATTCCGGCAGTATAGTCATACACACTTTAAAAAATCCCTGGCCACCATCTGCCATTATTTTGATGACATAGTTACCAACTAAACTTCTCCTCTGAATAACCTCCTCCAGTATTTCTTCTGAATTACACCACACTACAGGTCTTTTCTGTTGAACTTCACTTTTTTCAATATCAAAATCTAATATCTTATATCTGTAAAAATCTTCCAAAACTCTAGCCCTTTCTGCAACTTGCTTGGAATAATGAGCAGGTATTGATTTTCGACCAGCATTTGCTCGAATAAATGTAGCCAATTTTTTCATTTATTGTCCTGAAGAACCCGAATGAACCTGGTAGGTATGTAAACTTTCAAAAGAAAGCACGATAGGTTCAGCCGATTTTTTGAAATACAGTTTTCTTTTCCGCCCCCCTGTACTTACAGTCAATGAATCAACTTTATGTCGTGTCGATAATAATACACTCTTTTCTTTTTGATGTATAAGCTCACTACAAACCTGCTCTTTTTGCTTCTGTGGGAGATTATTAGTTAAATGTAATATATTTTCTGCCAGCTTTCTTTTTGAACGAGTATGTTTTGTACAGGTGTGAGATATGCCCCTTCCAATTTCTTGAAAACATTGGTTGCATAAAGTTTTGGCATTTTTTACTGTTCTTTCGGTGTTACGGGTGCTAACTTGGTCACTTTTGAATTTCGCGATCCAAACTGTCCAGTTTTAGTCTCGATTTTTAGAGATAAATTCAGGCTGTTACCTACTTTTTTTTTCATATTGACTGATCCTTTGTGACGCCCTGTCAAACAAATATAACACTGGCAAATTGCATCTTCAT